ACGTACTATACATGTATAAAAGTGTCGTTGTCAGCGTCAGACTGATTCATATTTAGCCCCCACAATAATATTTAAGAATTTTTTATAGAGAGATTTCAAAATAATTTTTCGAACGCATATTATTAAGGCTTTATCCCTTTACATCAGGCGATGTGGAGTAGCTTATTAGCCTTAAGATTATAGGCTTTGATTATTAAGGCCAGCAGCGATTGTCGGATAGCTGATACTGATTATTGACAGCTGTAATTTAACTAAAAATGCNATAGCTGATACTGATTATTGACAGCTGTAATTTAACTAAAAATGCAACTAGTTTGTATTTTTAACTAAATAATATGGAATGTACTATTATATTATGATCTATTTTTTTAAGTTCACGTTCTCGTATGCTTGGTACACTGAGTGGATAATGATTCTCATATCTATCTTAACTTTCAGGATTTCAATACAACATTGCAATAATTGTACTCGGTTAAGATACTACTCTAAAATTTTGAAAACATTTCGTCTTAATATTTGTAGAGGGGTATAGTCCTAAAACTAAAACAGTTCGAAAAGTAAAAAATATTTTTGTATATAACCTTTTCTTACATAATGCAATTCTTAATAGATTAGTAAAAGATATAACTTAATAAAAAATTGTCAAGAGTAAAATGTTTTTTATCACACTATTTTTTAATCGCTAATTTGAAATTATAGGAATTTCGTTCCTGCGGATAACAGACATTATAAAAATATAAGCTAAATTTGTATCTTATTATATCTATATTAGCAATTTGGCAATATAACATTTAGATAATAGCCTAGGATGTCAACAAAGTAAAAAGTAGGGTGGATGTCAAATGCCCAGTTTACACATATATGACTCTAAAAAAAAATATTTCAAAAATGCAGATTGAAGAAGTTTATTTTCCAGTTTATAGTGTGCCTATTGAGACACATTATACCTTTTCGGAATTATTTAATTGAAACCTATAATTATTTTTATACAATGAGGTAGATAGTGTAGTAAAAGGGTCTGAAAACTTATAAGGAAATTATTGTCCTATCGAAATATCCCTAAATACGTTTTTATAAGAATTCTTAAACTTTTTATTTTTTCAAATTTAAAAGTAAATGAATTTATCTAACGCAATAACATCCTATTACTTCTTAAAACAAGTAAAACATCACATTTATTTTATGAAATTACATTTAATATTTCATAACGGTTTTAGCATTTTAATGCACTATTGACTTGCAAAAAGAAAAAATACTCACTTTAGTTTTATGTTGGCAGTATAATCGTTCTTGAAATGGCTTTATAAACAATGCTTCTTTCCGAGTTAACATTTTACCACAAATATCTTTATATATTATTAAATGAATAACACAGTTATGTTCATAATTTGTGACCTATAATCTATAAGTTTGGTCATTTTTTCAAGATATAATCGTTTTATCAATATTCCCGTGGCAACTGTTAAAATTAAAAAGTTAGCATAAGTACTTAATGTAATAAATTTTATGACGTTTATTTTAAACATTAAATGTAGTGCGCAACGTTATCTATTTAGGTGTAATCTGGGGGTATGGAGGGTGCTTACAATAACAAAATTTGCATGTGTTTTTATATAGAAATCATATTATATTTTATAATGTAGTTATTATAATGATTATAGGTTTTCCATACATTTTACTTAATTTTCATTTATGGTTATCATCATAGTAGATGAAATTATTGAAAACAAAACTGGCTCATAAATGTATGGAATTACAACAGATATAGGCGTAACTAAAATAAATGTTAAGGGATGTTAAATCAATTTTTCTTCCAGTCCAGCATTTTTTTTATAAATTAATTAATTTGTTTTTTTTTTAAGATTGGAAAGGCTATGTACTAATATTTATAGAGATGTTTTCTGGGACACATTAAAAACTCTTTCAATATAAAAGGCTCAATTATTTTTACTTTAAAAGGGATGCTATAGAAAATTCTTTGCTAAAAAAACAAAATGACAATTAAAAAAAAGGTCTATAAATAACCGTTTCATAAATTATAGTCTGCTCTGTGTTCGACTTTATAACCCCTTTTAAATACGCCTCAAGGTGTTCTAAAAGAATATAGGTATTATAAAAGAATAATACAAATTTTAACGTAAGTCATTAAATATTCTGTAAAATAACGAAAAATATTAACGCATATTTCTATAAATAAAATATTGAGAATTAATACTTGAAATCGTGTTTATTGTTTTATACGATTTGCATTAGATTTTAAAACAATATTTTGTAAAATAATTGTTTTATAAATAATATTTTTTTTTGATATTTGTAGTTTATCAAATCACTGATTTAATAAAAAAAAACTGTAAAAATTGTGTTAAATATGTATTATACCTCTTAAAAATAAAATACCCTATTTTTACATCACTAAATATAATAAACATAGTTATTTCATTATTCCATAATAAGTAATATAAATGTATTTTATTAACTTTACTAATTTAACTGCAATATTAACTAAATTATAAAAAATATTAGTATTAACTACAAAAGAAAATACTTTTTTGTACGTGTATTTCAAAAACTTTGTGGATGATATACTTATTCATACTATGTAAATTAAATTAACATTATGTACTTAATCATTTTTATTAATGTCTATAATGCATAATATTTTCTTTATATCCATAGATGAACATTTGATAAAAATTTTTAGAAGGTTGGAAAATTTAAGTTAATTTACTAGAAGGCCTTATATATTATGACAATTTAAATAAAATTTTCATTTTAGGAGGTTAAACGTATGCTTATTTCAGTGTTAGGCATTTGAGTATTAAATAGTATAATCATTGATGAATCTTTTATTATTGACAAATCAAATTAAGTTCTTCTATTTAAAAATTTATAGACAAACAATTAATATTCAGATAAATTTTTCCATAAATATCCTTTTTAGTGCATAAATAATACATTAGTTAAATTGTTTCCCATACTAACATGTTAAAATAGGGCCATATATTACTAGCGCTACAGTTGCATTCAAATGCTGCTTCAATAAGGCCCACATACACGAAACGATCGGTTTGTCGATTTGCTGAAAAACTTAAGATTGACAGATAAATTGATAGGTGTGTGATAATGTTTGTCAACGAGTCGACGATTGACAAATTGATGCCTTGGAAGTATCGACTGGCCGATTGATAAACAGGTTGATACATGTATAAACACTTGTGTGGAGTAATTGATAAGCCAACGTGATAATCCTGCTATTATACCAAACTCGGTCATCCTTTTGAACTATAGAAGTTGATAAACAAATCGACAATTTTGAAGTTTCGTGTATGGCAAATTGTAGATTGTCGATTTGTTGATCAATTTTAATTTCAACTAATCGACAAACCGATCGTTTCGTGTGTATCTATAGTCATAAAACAACGTGCAACAACACGAGTAGATACTGTAAACTTGAGTAAACTGTAAAATGCATCATTATTTGTTATCACATGAAATTTTTTATAATGTTTGACCAAATAACAATAAACACATTGGTAATTACTACAATAGGTATAAAGTTAATTATTCGTTAGAAGTTTTTTTTATAAAATATTCGAATGCCGTCACAAACTAAAAAAAATCGTTGCCTTATGTAATAATCATAAAAACAGATTATAGAATTTTGCGATGTAAGGGGATTGTGTACAAAAGAAAAGTACTATGCATATATAAAGTAATTGGGATCGGGGGAATCCAATTTCAAGAAAATTTTTTTGCTTTTGGGAGATATTTTCAGATTGAAAGGTAGGGATGATATCTTATAAATGTTTTTATTTTAATCAACTAACTTTTAAATTAACTATATACATCATATTAGTCATAGCCATATTTAGGATTTTTGAGGACCAGACAAATGAACAAAAAAGATATCAGGACATTGGGGACTTATAAACTAATATCAACAAACCACTTCTAATGAGACATTGTCCCTCTAATTTTTGTGTTAAGAACACTTAGCTTAAAACTCTTAAAGAAATGTTATGAAAATATTTTTTTTATGTTCAAATTATAATTTAGGGAAAGTAGCTATTAATTATTATTAATTTTACTAATTTACTTAACATGAATGTAGATAATCATGAGTAATTTATAACATAATATTTTTTAATAACTTATTGTATAGTTTTAGCAGTCTAGTTCTCACGCAAGTTTATGTTTTTTTTTTGTAAAAGAAGTGTGATCAAAAACAACGGAAATCTACAGTCTAAATAAAATAATTATCTAAAGAAAGTGAATAAGACAATGCATAAGTACTAAAATATGAAATCTTTTTAAAATTCATAAGGAAATCTTATATTGTATTTAAGAACATAAAACTCGACACTTATATAATATAACTGTCATCAAATAAAACTTTTTAGGATAATCCATTTAAACTTAGAACCATGTGTGGGTTTTGTTGAAAAACTAACCTACGTGATGTCCTTGTGTGTTTAGGTGGTTTTAGACAGATTATTAAAGAAGCCAAAATTAATAATCCAAGTAAAAATCTAATATCTCAAATTGTATGATATTTAGTATTAAATTTCCATTAAATGAATTTATTAAGTTTAAACAATTTAACCAAATGATAACTGAAATATTTTTATCAATTATGGAGTTACAGATTTTTAAATTCATAAACATAGTAGTGTTTTCAAAAAAACTTTTTTCGTTTCAATACAAAGCTGAAAAGATATTGATTCTACTATGATATGTTTCTTTTTATGTCTATCACTACTTTATTCAGCTCTAACCAGACAGAATTTTTTTAACAATACGCCAAAATATATTTAGTTAAAAACAGTGCTCGAATTGGCCAAAAATAAGTAGGGGAGCTCAACTTAACAATTTGAAAACTGCGTCCCTAGTATTTTGAAGAC